AGGGTGGTGTATTTGTAGGCTGTTTTTACAGCACCATAAGTACCCTGCCTTGCCACAAATGGTGTGGGTTTATTTATGTCCAAGCTGTGACAATGAATGAAGAGGGAAGTGATACTAAATCCTCTTGTGGGTCTGTTTTCTGCTGCCTGTTCGTGGTGATCTTGGCTCCAATGAAACTTCTGAGGGCAGACGCTGCTCCGCGCTCGGTGCCCACCTCTGGGAGGTCTCTCAGAGGGGTTGTGCTGCAATGGAGGAATTCAGGCTGGTGGTATTTTCCATTTGAATGCTTCATGTAAATAAATGAAGTGAATCCAGTGGAATTAGGGGTTTAAATATGTTCTGGAGATGTATTTTGTGCGTGGATCAAAGGAATGCATTAGCAGCTTATGCTACAGTGTGCAATGTATTTACAATAGCCTCATGGTGTTGTGTCACCCTCCCTGTTTTATAGCTCAGAAAATGAGATCTACTTCCTAGCAGTTTGATATTGTGCTGTAAGTACAGACTGGCACAAACAGATGGCAACAGAACTGTCAGTGTGACACTTCCAGGCCTTCAGATCCAAGAGTTTCCACTTTGGACAGCCTCTACCTCTTATGCAATAGTGCTGGTTTCCACAGTTAACTCTTCCTGCTGCTATTTCTTTTCCTTTTCCTGAGATGAGGACATGGTACAGGTTTCTCTTTGTAACTCTTTTCTTCCCTAATGCCTCTAAGGAATGATCAGCACTAATTCACAATAACTCTCCCTGAAAAGTCCAACTTCAGCTCTTCAAATTCACCTCAGGAAAAAGAGATGTCTGAATTTCGTTGCTAAATGCACTTGCTTTCTGTTATGCTTTTTGAGCCCTCAGCCCCCATCTTATGGCATCCACTCTGGTCACTTGGTAAAAATAAATTCAAGGTCAAGGGTGTTATTTTTCTCATTACTTATAGATTGGAAAGAGCTCTGGAATTTTTTACAAGCCCTAAATAGTAATGGCACCTGCATATTTATCTGAAGGCTTCTTAGTTAATTGTGGGGTTTAATTTATTTTTTTTAACCAGAAACCAGCCCGCATGAATAATTTCACTGCTCTCTTGGTCTTTTCTGTGTCATGCAGTTTTTCAAGATGTCCACCACATGGTGATTTTTGGATTTGGCTTTTTCCTGATGTTTCTGAGAAGATATGGGTTTAGCAGTGCTGGATTCAACCTCCTGATGGTTGTGCTTGGTGTCCAGTTGTCCGTGCTGATAGAAGGTTTATTGGCTTTCATTCTTAACGAGGAGCATGATATGGAGCTGAGAAGGTAATTAGCTGGTGTTAGAACTGGAATAAGTGGTGGTTGCTCTTTGTGGAGGACAGTGCCTTGTGTGCAAATGGGCACGTTCTCATTTGCAGACATTTTAGAAGGTTTGGGGGTTTAAGTACATTTTGCTGCCTGGTGTTTTTTATTTGGCCCTGGTGTGGTCCTGATACAGAATTTATTTTCTTTATTTTTATTGCAGTATAACAAAAGGTGTTTTGAGCATGACTGCTGTGGTCATCTCCACTGGAGCTGTTCTTGGGAAGATGAATCCTGTGCAGTTGACTCTGATGACAGTTGCAGAGATAATGCTTTTCCATGTGAACAGATGGATAAACCAGAGATTCCTGCTGGTACTGTAGTACAATTTCCAAGCACAGGGGGGAAAATTTCACTGGGACTTTGTAATTATGTTGCCTTCTGGTGGCTTGTTAGTGCTCTGCTGACAGCACAGCAGTGTGTGTTACCTCCTCTCAGTTAGATTATGACAATGTTTTCATTCAAAGATGAAAGCTGACCTTGGAACTGCACTTACTGAACTCCAAACCCTGGATACTCTCTGTGTGTATCATTTGCTGTGTCTATATTCTTGGCCTTAAAGGGTGAGATGAGCTGATGGAATGGGATGTAAAGCACCTGCCTTTGCTCGTGCCCTGGCCATCCCCAACATGTGAATGAAAGTCTTGACTTATACTAAAAATAGTTGGCTTTAAACTTCACCCCATCCCAGGGTTAGTTCCATCTGGAAGGTTTCCAATGTGGGTGGTACACCAGCCCAGTCTGGAGAGTAAAAACCACCTTTAACGTGCAATGTGAACATCCCCCAAATTCCCTCTGTGTAGATTGTGTGTTTATGAGCTGCATTGGATTCAGATAAGTTAATCTCACATAAATAACTCATGCATAAACCAAGGGACTGTGAAAATAAATTGCTTATAGGGAGGTTACATGAGCAACTGTATCAGGAACTGCATCAAAGACTTTCTGTGGCCTGTAATAAACCACAAATTTGATTTTCTGTTGATACAGCTTCCAGAGAATGTCAACATGATGCATGTTCACCTGTTTGGAGCCTACTTTGGGCTGGCAGTGTCCTCACGTTTCCCTGTGCCCTCTCCAAGGTCTGACAAGAATGCAAGTACCCCAAAGTCAGTCTTACTGTCCATGTTGGGTAAGGCATTTACTTAACATCTCAGTGACAAGAAGAATGGGACTCTGAGGGAGGTTTTGGGTGGCTGGCCACAGCACACTGAAGCTTTTGCATCCCAGATGCAGGTCTGGCTGCAGGCAGGCATTAAAAACTGCTGCTGTCCTTGTTTGTGGGTTCTGACAGTGAGTTGGTGGGTCTCAGCATGTTCCCTACCAGGCATGTAAGCCACTCCTGCAACTCCTGTGGCTTACTTTGCTTTTGTCAGGCTCAGCATAAAGGCTGTGCCAGGTTAACCCTCTGCCAGCTAAGCTGTCCCCTTTGGCCTTCTGTAGGCACATTGGTAAGGGGCCAAGGTGCCAACGTTGAGGTTGTTACTTGTATTTGAGGAGTGCTTACAGTTCCCAGCTGGAGCCAAGGCTCAGTTTTGTCTGCAAGGTGCTGTGCAGAGATAGAAAAGGGCAGTCCCTGCCTAGTAATGTAAATGAAAAGATAAAAGCCTGATGAAGGGTGGGGAATATGATACAGGCAGGCACATGAGGGAGAATCTGAGTAATGATAGGCTGAACCTATGGGAGTTCCAGTCCTTTTCTTAAAGAAACAGTTTGGTTTCTTCGTTATCATGGCTTCTCTTCTGCCATCAGCTCAACTAAGTTCTTTCTGCAGAGGCCCACAGAGTCTGATTCTTGGTCAGTCTTCACCCAGTTGAGGGAAAATGCTCTTTGGAGACCCAGCCCTGGAGTTCTTGCTTGGCTAGAGGATTCAAGGAGATTGCTGTTCTGATCTAACTCATCAAGGCACTGTTAAGCCTTCATTATAATTTTGGTGCAGCTTGCTACAACCAAGTGTTTGCTATCTGGAGTAACTGTGTTCCCATGGCTTGAATAATTTCTGAGGTAATGTGGGTAGAAAGGAGCAACTGAGCAGGGAAATTTCTCATAGCTCCTCTTTGCATCCTGCTCCTGAGGGCTGTGTGAAGGGTGCTGAGGTATCTACCTGTACTGGAACTCCTATTGTGACTGTTTTATTTCCATAGCTGAGCAGATACTCATAAGAATGCTTCAGTGGCATTAATAGATTGTTAAATATTTTTTTTAATTAACTCCCTAACTAATCAATGAGAATAAGATAGTCATAGTATGGATTATTCCACCAGTCCACACTGCTGCCATAGGTTTTTCTTTTTACTAACTCACGACCTAATCAATGGGAATAAGATGGTCATAGTATGGATCATTCCCCCAGTCCACACTGCTGCCATAGGTTTTGAATTGCCAAAGTGGCTCCCCCTGCCCAAGAGACAACTGAAAGGGTGAAAATTACCAATGAAAATTTGATTTCAAGAAGCCAAGATAAGCTCCTAAAAAAGCAGTAGCTGGTTTTAACCATTGTGTTTTGTGGTGGCAATGCCTGGGTCACTTCATTGAATTGAACAAGAACACTCCAAATTTTTGCAGGTGTACTGCACAAGGGTCTGGTACATCTGTGGTCCAAAGAAAAAAACATTAGCTATGAGAGTTGACTGGAGAGCAAAAATAATGACTGGACAAGGCAAAATAAGCTGTTGGTTTATGTGTCCTCTGTGCACTGGGAGCTGTGGGCAAACTGGGGAGCACCAACTGCCATGTGTGGTCCACCTGGCTGTGGGTGTGAGGCCACCTCCTTCCCTCTGCTGGCTGGACTTTGGTCTGTGCCTGTGGATCCTGCCAAGCAGCAAACTCCCTGGAGAGAGGCTGAGGTTCCTAAATGCTGACAGTCAGGGCCCAGGTCACAGAAGCAGAAGAATGTGTTTTCTTTCCTGTTGTGAGTAAAGCCTGTGTGCACATGGAGGTGTGACACTGCAGTGATCTTACAGGAGGCAAGTGAATGGTTCTTCTGGACTCGGGTAGCAGGGAACAGCAGTTTAGTAGATGGCTCCTTCACAAACAAGAAGAAAGCTAAGCTGAGCATAGCTGAGTTGGGTGGAGCATGGTCACCTCAGCTCCAGCTCTTGTCTTTAGCCCTGTGCTGGAGTAATCCAAGCAGAGGTAGAGAGGATTCTGTTCTTGTGATCCAGTTCATCCTCTTTTTTCTCTTCAAACCCTGTCAGGAGGCAAGACAACCCATACCAGTCATACTGGCAGCCAAGGTACCACACATTCCCCAGGGCACTTTGGGTTCCTTTGTAGTTACTTCACCGTGTGAGCTGTTTTCCTCCTTGGCTTGCTTTCATTCTCTCTTGCAACTGGTTTTGAACAGATATTCTGCAGCTGAATGAAAAAGAGCAGAAATTTTGGGCAAGGAGCAAGCCCCAGGTGCTTGTGCAGAACAGGCAGGATGCTGATTGTTTGGAAATCAATGATAGAATTATTCCTCTTTGCATCTGAACCAATGGTTAAGGGGATAATAGAACAAAGCTGATGTTGAAGGTGTTCAGCTCTGTGAAGGACCAGCCAGATGCCAGCAGAGCTGTGCCTTGGCTGTTTGACACTGGGGCAGGATGTCTCTGGGGAGGTGTTGGTGTAGCAGGTAACTCTCAGGGCTGTTTGCACAGTGAATTGTCCTTTGTTTACAAAGTGGGAATTGTAGTGAGTACCAAACGTGGGCTGGAGCCCTCCAGAGACAGCCAGGGATGGAGTCATGGTTCAGAGCAGGTAATGACAGTCACTTGCTTTGTCTCCTAGGTACTCTCTTTCTCTGGGTCTTCTGGCCCAGCTTCAATTCTGTGCTAGCTGAGCTAGACAAGAGCAGAGCCATCTGCAACACCTACTTTGCCCTTGCTGTGAGTGCTGTCACTGCCTTCGTGTTGTCTGTTCTGACCACAAAGGATGGAAAATTCAAAATGGTGAGAAACAAGAGAAAATCACTGTGTGGAGAAGATACTTTACAGTTACTCTCAGTAACACTCTGAAAGTGTGATAGCTCTCGAGTCAAAACCAGTCCAGGTTTTCAGCCTGACAGTCCTCAGGAGCCTCCTGAGCAGAGGGCTGAAGCTGTAACTTCAATATTATGTTCTCAGTTTGTAATTTCAACTAGACAGAGGCCCAAATTCACCCTAAAGAGATGGCACTTGCATGAGACTAGCAATCTAGGATAGTGAATTCTCACTCCCTGTTTCTGTTGGTCCATTTGACAGGCCCATATCCAGAGTGCAGTGCTGGCTGGAGGGGTTGCTGTTGGTTACACAGCCCACAGTATCGAGCATCCTTGGATTGCAATGATTTTGGGTCTGCTTGCCAGTGTGATAACCATATTAGGATCTCACTGTTTACAGGTAATACTCAAAACCTGAAACTGTTTTTTGTATAAGCTGTAGAAACTTTTCCAGTGTAGAATTCCTCAAGGAAAATCTCTCTTTCAAAGAGATTAAAGCTAAGAAACCATAAAGTCTTTTGAGCAGAGTGCAGGATTGCAATCTGCAAGACCAACATTTATTTTCTAGGTTTGCAACAGACAATATGCTGTCACACTGTGTTTTGGTGTATCACTTAAATCTTTTCTTCTTCTCAGGGATGCCTGTATCCTGTTCTCAAAATTCATGATACCTCTGGAGTTCATTCCACTTTTGGCTTGCCTGGTGTGCTTGGAGCCCTTGCCCAGGTCATTCTCTTAGTAATACAAAACTGGACTACTCCACCAAGGTACAAAAATTCTTGCTATAAAGTAATAAGCTTGGCTAATCATTATTGTATTATGCCTTGAGAAGAGTTCTCATACATGCAGAAAGCCTGAATGTCATCACAGATAAATCATTTTATACCAGATAAACTGAGATAATCTCTGAAGTCCAAAAAAGTCAGTAAAAGATTTTCAGAGTTGAGCAGACTTTGGATCAAAACTTTAACATTAGTTTTGGGTCCTGTTTTCTGCCTCCCCTTTTGTTTGGTGTTAAATACAGTAGACACAGGAGATGAAGGCTGGGGGTGTGCATCATTCCAAGACTCATTTTGGCTTTTGTGATGTGTTTTGGGGAGCTTTGTTTGCTAATACAGGGCAGGGAGAGCAGAAACAGGCATTTGTCTTTGAATGAGGCTTTAACTCTGAGTCAGGGGCAAGAATGCCAGTTTGGACTAAAGCCAGTCTGGACACTGAACTGGAAAACAGACCTGGGGAGATGTAAAAGCTGAAGAGCTCCATTAAGGATATTCTCCATCTGCAGCTGCAGAGAGATTTGAGAATAACAGAGTTTTTATGAGAGGTTTTGATGTAAAATGCTGTGTAGATACAGATACAGGTTCAGTCACAGTCCTAATGCCAGGTTCAGCAACTGTAAAAGGCAAAATGCTTTGCTTTTCAGTCTGCCTGAGTTGGTCTTGGAGTATGTTGGTGCCTTCTGCCTGACCATCAATGTTGCCTTGCTAACAGGTTTGATTACAGGTCAGTATTGAATGTTTCTGTGATATCTTCCTCAATTCCTGGGGCCGAGGGGTCTGTCATCTTCCCACCCCTGCCATCACAGCAGCACAACCCTTTACAGGAAAGGAGTTGAAACTCCCAGTGTAACTGGGGCTCTGAAGTGTGTTTCCATGGGTAAATTATTTGTAGACAAAGCCATGGGAAACATGAATGCCAGGACTCTTCAAAGCTGATGTTTTGAAAAGAAATGTGTTCAACATCAATAACTAGCACCATTCTTTCATTGGTGAAGTTCATTGTAACAGATGCTTCACAGCTGCCTTCACATTTCAGACAGGAGATGTGTGAGGATTAAAATATTTTTAAATTTGGGTCTTGTCTTAGTGACAGAAAATGCTATCTAGAGCTTGTGTCTTTTTAGGCCAGTTGGTATAAAGCTGCCAAGTTTCACAGAAGTCAGGAGCTCTCTTGCATCAGCCCAGCACGAGGCCTTTGATCACTGCTGGGTTGGGATCCTCGGGGCCCACGTGGCTCCCATGTGACAATCTGGTCTCTGGCAGCTGCTGCTTTTCTCTAGCTGTTAGTTCTGTCTTGAATAAAAGAGAAAGGGCAGATGGAAATTGCTGTGAGATATACTCTAAAGTGATTCTTTGTGCTTGAATTGATCTGAAACTTCTGCATTACCTGAAGCATAGTTAAGCAGTTGAGCTAATCAAGCAGATTTTAAAAAAAAAAAAAAAAAAAATCAGCTAAAATAATCAAACCTTCAGTGTTCAACTCATTGTTTAAAAATCTAGATGTTCCCATCTGAAATCCCAAGCTAGCAGTGCTGATCAGCCTGATTGCTTTAAATACACAGGCATTTTTCATGCAAGAGGTTAATAGTTTTGGATGTATTTTCCTAGCAGGCTCTTTAATGGGGCTTTACCTAGAATAATTAGTTTTTAAGAATGCCAGCCTTGATCCTAGCAAGCTTTTCTCATTGTATTTGAGGTCAGCTTGAGTCGAGGGGCTCTGCTGAAGCATTTAGCCCTGAATTTGGATTTTGATGTGTTACATTTGGTTGTGTGTGAAAACTCCAGTCACACACAATCTTTCCCTTTCCTGATGTATATATTTATATTGGATATCTATTTTTTTTACAAATAGGTTTCATCTTAAACCTCAAACTGTTTAAGACCATCCCTGTAACAAAGTACTTTGAAGACCAGTTTTATTGGGAGGTAAGTTGCAATGTAAAATTAACTCAGTGGGAGTACCTATAGGACCTTGATGAAGAACTCTCAGTATCTGAGTTAAAAAGGGGGTGATTCCATTTTGCAGTATGTTTTGGATACCTTCTTTGCAATGAATGAACTGTTCCCACAGTAGATTCAGAGGCTGAACATGACAAATGGCAGCAGTCTTCAGTGAGGATTGTCAGAGGGTTGAGCAAGAAATGATCTTCTTGTCACCTGGACTGAATCTCAGGTGCTCAGACATCCTCAGGGATGGACACCCTGCCTGCCATGCTTCAGGCACAGGCCCCAAGGAGACCTGAGCAGCATCTAAGAGGGATTTTTAGAAGCCAGTGAGTGGAATGGAAGGTGCTTTTTATGAAAGGAGACCAAGCCTCCTGGCCTTCATGGGAGCAGAGCAGCTGCTCAGTCTGATGCCCAAACACAGGCCTGGGGCACCTTTCAGTGCTGAATGTGTTGCTGTATCTGAATTACAGAAAAAAGAAATACATGCAAATGAACTTCTTAAGATTTTTCCATAGCCTTTTTCCATTGAGGTATAAAAGGTTCTGACAGAAGAATGTTTGTCTTCACAGTTTCCCCATTTGGCTGTTGGATTTTGAACAGAGGAACCCAGATGACAGATGTGACCAAGATGAGATTTCCCTGTTTGTCACGAGAGAAGATGAATAGCTGTGATGAGTCAAAAGAGCACAGAAGTGTCAATTCTCAGGCTCAGAAAAGCCATCCCAATGAGCACACAAAAAATTAGAAATAAACTGTTCTAGTTATTCTAGAAAGATACAGGGTGTAAATTTCCAGATGCAAACTTCCAACGCATTTTGCTTTTCTGCTTTGTTGGTCTTACCTTCAATATTTTTTGTAGGATATGTACAAAAAAAGTTGGCTGCATTCACTGCTGTAATGGCTGATCAATCAAAACGCTTGGAAACTTGAAACCCATTTTAGCTCCCAAGTTAGAAAGCCAAAATAGATATTTTAAAGTCTAATTTTTCAAGGAGTACATACTCATTCTTAGCTAACGAAGTGTTACAGTACTTGTTTTTAAGCTAAATTAATTCTATTGAAGGCTTTGCTAAGCAAGGATTTGATGAGTGAGCTGGATCAGGTCCAGAACTCTGCATCTTGTCAGACTGAACTCCTCGAGTTATCTGACTGCTCAAAGAAAAATCTCTCCTGGCTTGGCTCACACTGGCTCTTTGGAAGGTCAGATGGCCACAAGTTAAATCGTTCTGCTTGTAGACAGTGCCCCAAATAAATCAATGGTGTTTAGTCACATTTAAGAGTTGGCAGCAGACCACTGTGCTGGGCCAGCCTGCACCACCACGGGGGCAGCTGCCTCAAGGGCTCTGGCTGCCCTAAAGGTGTGGACAATGGGGGAAGCTGAGGGAAGAGTCCTTGGTCCTGCCTGCTACCAAGCAAAGGTCCCATTTCTGAAGTTTTTTACCCTGAGACAAGCAGGGCTTTGTTGAGTGTGCAAGGCCCTGGTCAAGCTGAGGATTCTCTGTAAGTGAGCCTATGTTTTTAAGTGGGTTGTGAGCATCAAGTGTTTTTTTCTAATTAGTTGACATAGAACTCCTTCAAAAATGCTTGCCTAATAAAAAGTCAAAGTGTGATTGGTTTTAGTTATTCAGCACACTTGCTTAAAAATGAAGTAATGAGGAAAAATCTATCATTGCAGACCAGGGGTGAGTCCTTTGATGCTGGCTGCAGCAGTGCGTGCTGACATCCATTCAGTAAGGATTAAGCAAAGCAGATCACTAGAATTAAAGTGCAAGATAGGTTTCAAGTGATGAAAAATCACTGGGAGAAGGGCCAGTTTTTTGTCATTTCCAGGTCACAAACCTGCTGAGTTTATCAGCTGCCTACAGCTTCCACCAGCCAACGGTGACATCCAGCCCAGACACCACTTACAGTCTCATTACAGAATCACAGACTGGTTTGGGTTGAAGGGACCTTTCAAGGTCATCTGGTCCAACCCCCCTGCAGGGACAGGGACATCTGCAGCTAGAGCAGGGTGCTCAGAGCCCCGGCCAACCTCCCCTGGGATGGTTCCAGGGATGGGGCAGCGACCACCTCTCAAGGCAGCCTGGGCCAGGGGCTCACCACTCTCAGCTCCTCTCTAGTCTAAATCTCCCTCTTTTAGTTTAGACCTATTATCTCAGAGTTAACACACTGCCACCTGTGTAATTTTGTAATTCAAGCTCAGCTTGTGCACTTCTTTAACTTTCCAGCAATAATTTTGGCCACACAAAGGGCTGTTTTCTAGCAGAGTGCTTTAAGGAATATGTAATTCCCTTTCTTTTCCCCAGGTCTCTTTTGTCATTGATTTCTTGAGCATTTCTGGGTGAATGGACAGGAAAGGGCAGATGGAGGATCAAAATTCTCCCTGTTAATTCCCTTTCTTTTCCCCAGATCTCTTTTGTCATTGATTTCTTGAGCAACTAGCCTGGGTGAATGGACAGGAAAAGGCAGATGGAGGATCAAAATTCTCCCTGGTGGTGTCTGTTCCTGGTCTAAGGAGTGCTCTTAGCCAAAGTGAGAACTCTGATCTCTTTATTTTTTTACAGTGGTTAGAAAATAGTTGACAGGAAGCTTTGGGGATGAGCCACTACATAAATTGTGTCTCCACAGTCATCCACAGCAACAGTGAGTTGTTACTCAGCTGAGACTTCCTCAATATTGCCATAGGGTGAGTTAAATATTCAGGAAGGTGGGGGAAAAATAATCCCAGAGAAGCCTAGTTCTATATTTTGGAAAAAAATCACACACAGTTAAGTTTTGAAATTGAAGAAATGGTTATATTGTTCAGATACAGGAAAGGTTTAATAAATATATGTTAAAAAGTTGTTTCAAAGCATTTTCAGTTAAGTCTTGGATTGTAAGTAACATCATAGAAAGAGCTGGTTAGATACATCCAATTTTCCACTATTCTATTGACTTGTAGCAAACATGATACTGTAGAAGTGACTGCCCTGTTACCTGGAGCAACCTGACGTTTGTCAACAACAGGTACAACATGGAAATCAACACACAGGAGTAAAAAAATGAACCAGGGTAGAACCAGAATTTTTAGCACTATGTTTGACGTTTTCCTTGTTTTATCTGCAGACACAACTCGAGGTCACCCTTTACAAAATGGCTTTACAAAACTTGGGGAGTGTGCAGTTAAAAAACCAGCACGGCCGGTGTGGTGCCAGGGGCATGTTCACTGCCACAAATCCTCCGTGCGCCCAAACTTGAAGACCAGTCCTCTGTTTGAAACAGGAAAAAAAAGGACATAAATACATATTTCAGCAAATAAAATACCTCCTATTTTAAATACATGATTGCAGGGAGCAAGTCATAGTATTTGTAAATTCAGTTCCTGGTCCTGGCTAGATCCCAGAGACCTTTACCAGCAGTTTATTCACCCATGTCTAATTAAACAAGGCTTAAAATCAGACAAATTACATCAAGATTTGTTTTTTATCATTAAAAACAAATGAGGTAAGAAACAAATAAAGGAAGATAGTCTTACCCAAAAAAGATGAATGCATTCTGGAAAAACACAGCTATTCCAGGGTATACGACTGGTTTTTCTAGAAAAGAAAAAAAATCTCCATCAATTTTTTGGAAGTCCTTTTCAAGTCATTTTCTCTGACATTTCAGAAATGTTAAACTGCACCATGTCATCAAAGATACCCAGTTTCATTTAAATGAGTTTAATATATAGGCTCTGGGAGCAATTTGCACAAAATCAATGATTTTTATTCTGGAAATAAGTGTTCCCCCAGGGAATTATTCCCACATAGCTGCAGCAGTTTAATTGTATCAGGTGTTCCCAGGTGTCCAGGACCTGGGTTTCTAGTGAGGATGGTCTGAAGTTTGTGACTTAGAAGCAGATAAAATCCACCCCAATAACAGCAGGTAGCATGGAATGGTGATGTGTAAAAAAAAATAGGAAAGCTCTGCCTACCTAGAAACTATCTAAAAATGAGTTCTGAAATTCAATAGTCATTTAAAATACTTTAAGCTTTCAAAAATGGATCAGGTAAGATCCATTTCAGGTAAGCTCCATGCTTTATCTTACCTTTAACAACATAGCCTCCAAAAAGGATCCACATGGAAGCAATGAGTGATCCAAAAGCCATCATAAAACCAATGAACAGCCAGATCCGAGCACCTGGAAAGAGACATCAGGGGGATTCTGAGCCTGTGTCTGAGCACAGACACTTGTTGCTTCCCTCACACACCAGAGCTGTACAGATACACAACATGCACACCAGCACAGCTCCAACAACTCTTCCAAGGAAGACTCAAAGGCTTCCCAGAGCTGCTGCTGTACAGCAGCCCATGCCACTGTACCTGTCTGTCCCAGGCAGCCTTCGCTGTAACTGTCACCCCGCACTTGTCCGTTGGACACCGCGTTGATCCTGCACCAGCAGAACAGGAGAAACTGGGGTAAGCACAGGTAAACCACGACCAAAGAGTTACCAGAACAACAGAACCTTCCCTAGAACCTATATAAAAAGGATGATGTTGTGGGCTTTGTTTTTTTTAAAAGAGGGACAAAGCCAAAACTTACTATGCAGTTCTCCAAAGACTAAGATTTAGTAGAGAACCTTCTCTAGAACCTATATAAAAAGGATGATATTGTGGGCTTTGTTTTTTTTAAGAGGGACAAAGCCAAAACTTACTAAGCAGTTCTCCAAAGACTAAGATTTAGTACTACACACTTAATTTTAATAAAATATTTCCTTACTATAAATATCAAAGAATCTAAACAAGCTATTAGAGGTACTCAGTAACCTGATTTGTTATTCTCAGCCGTCTCCATTTAAAGACTATATGTTCTTTTATTAATTGTACAAAATAAGATCTAGGACTGCATACCTCTGATCAAGGAATTACACTTACATCAGGAATGCAATAGTGGCTATAACCCCACAAGCATGGTATGAATGGTTGAAGTCTTCCATTTTAGGGTATTTTACAGCTGCATCTATGATTATCCACCAACCTGTAAAAAACTATTTTAAAAGGAAAAAAAGCACGGTAGCTTAAAATACGGATAATAAAGCTTTTAACAATATATAAGATCACTCTAGAAAAATAATGTCAATATATAAAATCGTCCTTACAGTCTGCAAAACAGTCAGCTGACAGCACAGCTAGTTTTGCTATCAACTTAGGAACAGCATTAAATGCAAAGCCAGATTTACCTACTCTCAATAGTTATTACACGGGTAGAAGCTGCAAAACTTCAGTGACACATGGCTGTAAGCACCCAGAACAGGTTTTGTTGGGAGCTCTGCTGCTACGTACCAGGACAACGTGTATCCCTGTTCTTCCTTTTGCTTACGAAGTGCTAATTTTGACCTCACTGATGGCTGACTACATCCAGAAAGCCCAAAAGGGAAACCGTACGTACCAGCACTCCTGCAGCAACAGAAGCAATCGTGTTTCGCTTCTCTCCCCAGTCAACGCACTCCGAGCACCTCAAGCTCTCAAGAAACCCAGACATTTTTCACCGCTCTGAGGGGCTGCAGAAGGAAAAAGGGACCTTTCTTTCCAAGAGGAAACCCCTCACGCATCGAGAGCTACGCGCATCGCGCAAGGG